GTGGTCGTTAACACGGTCGGGAGGAACGTATATCACGCAGATATAGATTGTACCACTTAGAGTTGAAATTGCAAACCACAGATGCTCAACCGTCGAATCTTCAGGAGGTTTCAGTAAGCGAGATACGAAGCAGGAGCGAATGGCCAGAAGGACTCCACCACCGGAGGTCTTGTTGCTGTTGAGGGTTGATCGATCTTGACGGTAGACGGAATATGTATCGTTAAACAACTGCTTTGACAAAGTGTTGTTATTCAGCCAAGTTTCCGAGAAGGCGTATATGTCGTAGCATGCGTCGCTGCATGCTAGCTGGTATTCGGCGAGTGAGCTGTTCATGCCACCGACGTTCTGGTAGTATAGCAGAATTTGAGATGCTGGGACGCATGGAACAGCGGGCTGCAATCTGGAAGTGGAGGCAGCATCAGGCAGAGCAACGTCGAAAGAATAAGGGTACTTGCCGTGGATGGCAGCTTGGAAAGCCCTGTCCCCAGCACTAGACTCAGGGCCGGGACGACTTAGATGGTGGGGGCGTGTGAACTGACCAGGACTGGAACCAGTAGTGGGCGCAGCTGAGCTAGGTGGGTCCAGGGTTTCCATACTGCTTTGTGACGTGCGTCCCAGGCTAGATGAAATGGCGGCTGATGTTCGGCTTGAAACGGAGAATTGGTCGTTGTGATTGAGGGTCTCAGTGTTCTGCAAACGGCATGTCAGCGGGCTTTGGTTCTTCCTGGAAATCACAGGAACGACAGGAATTAGCTGATCAATGTCAAGATCGGAAGAATACTCGCCAAAATAAGTTGGGTGGAAGATCCCCTCTCCACATCCGACCACAGGCCCGGAACGACGATGATGCGCGGAGACAGCAAGTGGCAGGACTGAGGCGGAGGGATTGGGGACTTCCATGAGGCTTTCTACGATGCGTTCCGAGTTTCGAGATGGAGTTGGTTGAGTGTGTACTTGCCTGTCATAGGAGGTTGGAAGACCCCCAGCCCACATCTAAACTCAGGTCCAGGACGACTGTGATGAACGCAGGCAGGGACGTGCACGACTGTGCTAGAGGAACTGGGGGCTTCCAATAAACTTTCTACAATGCGTCCTGGTTGGCTAGCATGGTACGTCAGGAGTCTAGAAGGCGTTGAACTTGTTACGTCCACGCAACGCGTTAAGTAATTGTTACTGGAAATGGAGGTCGGCTCAGGAAGAGAAAATTTTGATACAAAGCGGTACTTGCCTGTTAGTACAGGCTGGAAGACCTCTTCACCGATTCCGAAACCAGGGCCGGGACGACTTCGGATGAATGGATCTTCAAGCAGCACGACTGGTTCGGAGGGATCAGAGGCTTCCAAGACACTGTGTTGTTGCGTCCCGGATCCACCCGGTCGAGTACCAGTTCTCGAATGGGAATGGGCCTGTCACTGTGCCGGGCCAATCCGAGTGATTTTCGTCACCTTTGACCGGGAATCATCAAACTCGCGGAACTGTATACCTTCCGGCCACGACTCACAGGAAAAAGCGACATCTCGTTTGTTTGCACAGACGCCAACTTTGAAGGAGACGAAGTTCAAGGTAGATGGATCTTTCCCTCTGGGGACCAATTTGGTCACCCGAGGTTTTTCGTTGGACTCCATACACAAGCAATCGGTGACGAGAGATGCAATTTCATCGTTTGTAGTGCTAGGATGAAAAACCGATAAATAGATCCACACCAGATCATCGTTCAGATCAACGGTTTTAACTGAATCGATCGATCCTTTCGTCCCACATTGCATCGATTTGTTGTCTGAGCTAGAAGTACGGCGACGCTTCGAAGAACCACTACCAGAATCAAAACGATCAGGTCTAGGCCAACGTGGAGTTGAGCTAGCCGGAATCTTTGAGTCCACTTTGGCTGCCAATGCAGTAACAGCCGAATTCAGTTTTTCAATGTCTTCCTTCATCGAATCGACCGCACTTGGCATCACAGAACCGAAACTCGCGTCGCGGCTGACAATATTCCGGAAGTGACCGTTGGAAAAAAGTTCCGCACAGTGGTCGCACATCCAGAAAACGTTGTTCGCGTACAGTCCAAGCTGATCGAGAAGTTCGACATCAACTTTGGCACAAATCACGTGAAATGTGTCCCCACAAAATCCACGACAGACGATGCGGTCTGAGTCAGAAACGGTTTTGGTGCACTTTTTGCAAGCCATGGTCACAAAAGTTAAAATCTTATTTTTCACGTGTAACCACGACTACCACGTATCGAAAAACTATAGTTGGGACACTACTTGAGCAGAAAGTACGGTAGCACAGTGCAGTGCAGCAAGGATGCAAACAAAGAGTGATAGAGTGAACAATAACAGATAGTCGCCACCACCGGTGTGTGGGACGATAATTATGATCACAGAATTTCTCTACTAAATCACTAGTCACGCAAAAACCTCCACTTTCCTGAGGTACGGCAAACAAATCTACACTCAACAACACGAAACACGACTGAATCAATTCTAAATCACACGGGTAAAACGTTGATATATAGCCGGCGGGTGACCGTAAGTTTACTCACAAACGACACAAAATTCATAGATGAATTATTATCATAATTCCGATTGAACTTAAATGCATTTTTGTGGAAATCGAATTGATTTCCTCGCAAATGTCTACTTCGAGTCCCATGGAGCTTACATAAATATATATGAATGTCAATTTATTTTCCTGCTGCACCACCTTCAAATCTCTGTCTCTAACTGTCTTGGCACGGAGTTTATCTCATTCGTTGGTAATACAATTAGTCATCCATGCAGGCCTCAGGTGAGAGTACGACACGGATCACACACAAAAGCGGATCAATCGGCATCATCTACGGGTAAATTTGCGTATCGAAAGGGTCTTTCGTTCCGGTCGGAGTTTGGTAAGCAAATCGAATTTACCGTAATTTATTTATTTTCGCATCCTTTTTTCCCAACTTGTAATGCTTTGTGTGTAAGTGTAGGAAGTTTAAAACACACTTTCCTTAGAACTTACAGCGTGCAGTGTCAGAACGGGATTTCACTGGATTATATTGTTACACGATTTAAGCTTTTTATTCTGCAATACCAGCACCATCGCGTTGCTGGGATAAAGTTCCGTTGAAATCGTATCCAATGGAAAATGAAAGGATTTTCCGATGTGCATGTACTCGTGTCGAAAGGAGATTGGAAACCATTCGTTCACGGTAGGTGAAAGGGAAAGCTTTAACTCATAATAAATCGCAGCACGTGGGCGGTACACGTTCTGGTTTATTACTTATGTGCGTTTAATCTCAATGTATTTCCAACGGAATGAATGAAACCTCATACACCTTCAGTAAAACAAAATAGGTTGATCCTGAACGTGCACGAGGCCTACCCAATTATATATTTATAAGCTTGTGCAGAATCTTACCCTACCATGCTTCCTTACAATAAAGCTTTCATGGGATTAGAAAAAGAGGGTGTCCACAAACAACACAAAAACTTCTTTACGAGGGTTTAGATTACCCATTCAATGAAGTCGTATGTAAGGACCTCTCCTGCTGGATTCACCCTAAATTGTGCTATACAGCATTGGTGGAGACGCTTGGTCATTCATACGCCACCAACAAAAGACTTGCACCGTTACTCACAGAAAGAGAAATGCGTAACATGGGTCTTGTTCGTGTTCCCACTATAAAAAACCATGCATTAATTCCATCGGACACACAAATATCTCTAGCTCAAGCGAATCATAAACCGAGCACAAACACCGGAACCCAGGATCACTTCCAAGAACTGCACACAGCACAGAGCAGATCATCATCCGAAACGATTAATCACCTTTACTGCCGACAGCGTAATTGGTTTCGTGGCACCTAGCTGTCGTCATCGTCGTCCTTTCTCCAGCAGGTCCTAGAGTTGCAGCAGCAGCTCTTTAAGCATCGCATCCGTACGCAACGAAACCTAACAACCGAACAGCGAAAGGAGTGGCTCACGGAATGATTTCCTATAAGTACGTTAGCCGAAAGGTCACTTCCTGTGCGTTGAGGTGGGGCAGAAAGGCCGGGGGACAGCGGCGGCGAAGCTTAATTCGAGCAGCAAAATTTAGTATAATCCAATAAAATGAGCAAGCAGAATTTTCATCGCTGCGGCAGTTTGTGGACTCTCCCGGAGCTTGGCCGGGCATGAATTGCAAGCTTTTCATCGCTGATGTTTAAACCGGGAAAGCGGATGGCTGGTGGGGTTGGAGGGGAGTTTTTTTTTCGTAAATTTCCTTTGTATATGATCATGATAATAACGAAATTATGTCCGCTGATGCTTTCGGCGCGATACGATGAAGGTCGTCGACGGTGGTGAAAGGAATTTGAAATGGGGAAAATGCTTGTTTGGTGGCGGCATGTTGGATTACGGCATTATTCCGGCCATTAAATTCATTAACAAGTCGAATTGTATTTATGACAATGATTTTATGCGGAGGGTGGCTATGTGTCTGGTGTGATTAAAAGTCAGTATTTATCATTAGAAATGATACACAACATTAATTTTAATAAATATTACTAGAAGTGATAAATGCTAATTGATGATTGCTTTCAGCAAATTTCAATATTGGGAACGTACGAAAAATAGATGCTCGGATAATAAGTCGTCTGTGTCATATAACAACTTACGTTGTCTGTACCCTGGGGTCGATTTGACATTAAAATTGCCGTTTTCAGCGATTTTAGTGCGCATCAAGTTATAATTATTCAGAAATTGAAGGGCGGATCACCCGTGGGGAGCGGTCATTGTAGGGTCGATGTCAAAGATTTTTATACCACGAGAGCCCAGGGTACAGATAACATAAGTTTTTCAAGAAAAATTTATGCATAAGTCGATTCAGTACTACAAATCAAAACGACATACTGAATCACGAAACAATTAGACAAATTTATTGCCACATAAAAAAGTTCTTGCGAAGTCGTCTCCACTCTACTCGATTCATGGTCACACTTCGTCAGCCTCGTAGTCTGCAAAGGGTCCGCAGGTCGCCTTCTACTTGGTCAATCTACCTTGCCTGCTTCGCGCCTCTTCTTCTTGTTCCTGTTGGGGCGTTTTCGAGAACCATTTTCACTGGCTTGTAGTGCGGCATTCTTACGACGTGCCCATCCCACCGTAGCCGCCCAATTTTTGCAATGTGGACGATGGATGGTTCTCCCAGCAGCTGGTGCAATTCGTGGTTCATTCGCCTCCTCCACGTTCCGTCATTCATCTGCACTCCACCGTAGATGGTACGCAACACCTTCCGTTCGAAAACAACATCCTCCACCAGCATAGTCCAGGTCTCGTGGCCGTAGAGGACCACCGGTTTAATCAGCGTCTTGTAGACAGTCAACTTCGTGCCGGGGCAAATTTTATTCGACCGGAGCGTCCTTCGGAGTCCAAAGTAGACACGATTCCTTGCCCTAATGCGTCTTTGAATTTCTCTGCTGGTATCATTTTCGGCGGTCACCAGTGATCCCAAATACACGAACTCATCGACCACCTCGATTTCGTCACCGTCAATCTGAATTCGGGGAGGGAGGCTTACATTGCATTGTCTTCCCTAGAACTTCTTCCTTTCATGTATTTTGTCTTGGATGCGTTTATGGCAAGTCCAATCCGCCTAGCTTCAGCCTTCAGTCTGATGTACGTTTCCACCACCGTCTCAAAGTTCCGTGCCATGATGTCGATATCATCGGCCAGGCCAAGAAACTGGATGGACTTCCTGAAGATCGTGCCACTCGTGTCTATCCCAGCTCTTCTGATCACACCTTCTAACGCGATGTTGAATAGCAGACACGAAAGCCCATCACCTTGCCGTACCCCCTTTTAGCTTCAACTCGTGTCCCCGATCGAACAACGCAAATCACTCAGTTTATCCGGAAATCCGTAATCTGCCATAGCTGATCTCGATCGATTGTGTCGTATGCCGATTTGAAATCGATGAACAAATGATGTGTGGGCACGTTGTATTCGCGGGAATCCATGAATCCCGCCTGGTATTGCCCCACGAACTTTCTTGCAAATGGTGACAAACGGTGGCATAGAATTTGGGAGAGTACCTTGTAAGCGACGCTCAGCAGTGTGATCGCCCGGTAGTTGAAGCAATCCAACTTGTCTTTTTTTTTGTAATTTGGGCATACGACACCTTCCATCCACTCCTCCTGTAATATCTCCTCCTCTCAAATCTTGGCAATAACCCAGTGCTCACTTTTGACGTAGGACTACGTCTGGGATTTCTATATGGGCGTACACTTTGTGAAAACCGAAAATGGAACATGTAACGAAATTATGAAAGATTTTGATCGTTCATAACTCAGCTGCCCCTAGACCTGTTGCAATAATTTTCTCTATATTTTCATCAGAAATATTTCAACGCATCGATTTTGACTGTTTATTTTCATCAGCATTCTCCAAAAGCGTCGAAATAACTAACGAATCCACCAATTACGTACATGCATATACTGCTTCCCAAACACAGTCATCAGATAATCGGTTCTAGACGAAACATGTCGATGTAGCATTGCTGCTTCCCCAACACCGTCATCAGAGAGTCGTTAGTAGACGAAACAAGTCGAAGTGGTATTCGCCTCCGATCATCGGGCGTGTGCGAATAGGGAGGATGCAATTGCGTAACATTTTGCACACTCATCGCCATATTCAGAACCACACGCCCCCAACGAACACACAAAATGCTACCCAGAGTTGTAATCTTGTAGTGATTTTGATCGATTCTCTTCATCGACTTTCTGTTTCGTTAGTAACTCGACGGCAAATACATTTATTGATACGTTTGTTCTTCTGGATGATAGAAGAGCATAGCAGAAATACCACGAAATAGGTTAGTGAAGCCATGGTCATCAAAAGAGGAAATCGATGAAGAGAATTGACTTTCACCCCTCTGCTGATAAGCCCTTTAATTCAGTCGTAGTCACAGCAATCAAAACTAGCATCGCACCGCTTTTGGTTCTTGGGTTACACTTGCTGGTAGCAATTCTGCTGTTCGAAATTTCCGGAAGATCACTAAAATACATTAAATAACACCATTTTCTAGGGATGCCTAAGAATCCAATGATTCGATTAACGATTAATCGTAAAGTTGAAAAACTATCGATTAAATGATAATCGAATTTTCAATTAACCATTTTGTCAAGTTTGCATTTTCCATCAGATGTCACTGCTCTTTTTTGCGGTGACATCTATCGGAAACTAAACACAATTTGTTTTCCGTTAATTTTTCACAGAGGACAGTGGAGAGCAACACATGTCTGGTACTTCTATATATTTCAGATGTTAATCTAAATGCATATATAGAAGTACCAGACATGTTTTGCAGTGTCAGGTACTCTATTTTGTAATATGTGAGAGGGAAATCACAAATCGAGTGTCATCAAAATACATGGCGTGTTGAAAGATTGAGCTCGTGAGAGAGAATAATCTCTCTCATATTTGATTTGTTTTGGCATTCTGGAGCCTGGTAGTAAAGCGGTTAAGGTTGTCGTCAACTTTTTTGACCTGAATATGCATCAAAAGCGTATAATTTAATCTGTTCCGAATGAAACATCACCATCTGTGTGAAAAATAGTCTTGACATAATGGTTCATTATCCGAGCGCATAGCCGACATCCCTTCTTATTTCTACTCGTTTGATTTAGTGCAGTAGAGAAAATAAATAAAAGTACTTATTTATCTGAACAGGCATAAAGAAGAATCATGACGTGAAAGAGGATCATAAATTCGCCGAAAAAAGTGTTACGCGTCTTTCTGCTAAAGGCTAAAATTGACCAACTTGTTGAGAGAAGGAGTTTAACGAGAAAACCTAAAAAGGGGAGGAGCTTTAGCTGGGTGGACACTGATATTCTGCTGCCTTCCAACCTGTCGCAGACACCAGACCCAAACAAGTCACCATCAGGGACGGGTTGGCAGCAGACCTGCGGAGACTCATCATCAAACTAACTCGACGCCGTGAGAAGTACATCATCGCTGGCGACGTGAACACCAAACACCAAGCTTGGGGCAACAGTCGACGCAACCAAAACGGCACAAACCTGAACGACGACCTGGAAGAGGCTCACTACACTATAATAGCGCCGGACTCTCCCACCCGCTTGAGCCGGTCTGGCGTACACTCCACCATCGATATCATCGTCAGTAACATGGGAGACAACATCTCGCAAGCTGTGACCCATCAGGAGCTGAGTTTGGACCACTATCCGGTGGTGGACGATGTGGGCTCATCCGTCAACCGATTCCATGCTTCCCGACGCAACTACCATCGCGTCAGCTGGGATCAGTTCCAACACTGTGTCGGCTCCACTTTCGACTACGGTGTCCTTCCGGAGACGCCCGAATACGTTGACCGGTGTCTGCATTCCATCGAGGAGGCGATATCCCGGGCCAGTGAACAACAAGTGACAGTATCCAGACAGGTGAGCAATACTCTGAACCTTGACAGATCTACCAAAGTCCTTATAAGACTCCGCAACACCATCCGAAGGCAGTACCAACGCTCTGGTCTGCCTGTCCTTAAGACCCACTGTAATCGTCTAACAAAAACCATCCAAGCCAGGATGGTGGACCTCAGAAATCAAGACTTTGCTAACAGGATCCGCTCTCTCCCAGATTGTGCAAAGCCCTTTTGGAAACTAATTAAAATTCTTAAAAATAAGCCAAGACCCATTCCACCACTGACCCCACTGGATAGTCCCGGCGACCCAGTGGTTCATCTGATAGCTCCTGAAGAGAAGGCTGCCGCGATAGGTCAACACTTCTTCAGCTCTCATAATCTCATAATCAATATGTTTTTTCCGAGTAATCCGAGATTACTGACGATGGCTGACGAACTGTTGGCCTATATCAAATCATCTAAAAACATGAAGGCCCCATGTTTCGACAGCATCCTGAATCTGGAACTCAAACACTTGAGTTCCAGATTCTACAACCATCTGGCACTAATTTTTAATCTGTGCCTTCGACTTGGTTACTTCCACTCGTTATGGAAGTCAGCTATAGTCATACCCATCCGGAAACCTGGGAAGGATCCTTCCTCGTCCAATCAGCCTTCTCTCAGGGTTATCAAAACTGTTCGAAAGAGCAGTCCACCACCGGCTCCTAACATCTGCCGAAGAATACAACTTGTTACTCGAGGAACAGTTTGGTTGTCGGAAAGGTCGTTCGACCGTCCACCAGCTGACTCGAGTAACAAACATTCGCAGACACATCTGCCAAAACAACACGTTGAACGTTGAAAATGCCTGTCTGGCCTGGTGTTCAAATTGCAGCAGTACGGTCTTCCAATCTTCATAGTGAAGATAATAAATAACTATCTATCGGACAGGCTCTGAATGGCATCACATCGGTTGCTTTCAACATCGGTGCCGAGTTTCCACAAGGAAGCATCCTTGGCCCCATTTTATTCAACCTGTTCACCACCGATATGCCGGCTCTCCCTGATTGTGGATCGTTGTCTCTGTTCGTAGATGACACATCCATCGTCTACAAGGGTAGGGTCATCGGAGCTCTGACTGCCAAACTTCAGAGAGGCCTGGACGTCCTGTCTGAATATTTCAACAGCTAGACGATCCGTATCAACGCGGCAAAGACCCAGGTCATTATCTTTCCACACTCTAAATCTCCTAGACTTGTTCCGTCGGAGAATAATAAGATCTGCCTGAACGGCACAGTGGTGGAATGGTCCAAAGAGGTCGTGTACCTCGGGCTAACACTAGACAGCAAGCTTCTTTTCAGGGAGCACGTTGACAAAACAAAAACCAAGTGTAACATATTGATAAGATCGCTGTATCCACTTATCAACAGGAAGTCAACCCTGTCCCTGAAAAATAAGCTTGCTTGCAAACAAATCATCCTTCCTGTAATCGAGTACGGTATGCCAATCTGGGAGATTTGCGCCAAATGCCATCACCTCAAACTCCAATGGATCCAGAACATGATCCTTATGATGATCCTAAAAAGTCCCTGTGAACTAGAAATTCTGAGATCCACCTCCAGGCTGGAATTCAGACATTAGAAGAACGGATAGTTTTTATCCTGGAAAGGTTCAGAGACACCTGCCTGAGATCAACAGATCATACGTGATCTAGCACGTCAGACTAAGCTATACTCGTAGTTAGGTAGGTAATCATTTTTTTTTTCATTTCAAACACAACACACTCCCTACGAGGTATTCTGTACATTAGTAGAAAAACGTGAATACGTAAATTAGAAAAACAAATGAAACAGAGATGAAGAGCCTGATAGGCTAATCAATTAAAATGTTAAAACAATGTAAAATTATAATTAACAGAAATAAACGTAATTTTATTACTCGTTGAAGTCATACTTGTAACTAGCTTCGGGAGTAACGGATACCAACAACAGCAGCAGCAATTAAACAGCAGTAGTTGGAGCAGCAGTACTGGAAGCAGATGAGCCGAGATTCATGGAGCTGTGACCAAGGCTGGAAACCGGTCACGACAATATAGATGAAGAACTTCAAGCTTGTAAACAGAATTTATTCCTCGTTGACTTGTTGACAGCAGAGAACACATTCCAATTGGATTTGTGGTTTTCACCACAATTTGAACATTATAATTTCTTAGTATATTCCTCCACAATTCATGCATTAAGCTGGCATGTAGCAATTTTTCTTCCGTGACCCCATTCCTGGCACTTACGGCGCTGGTCGAGGTTTAGTAAATTTCCTCCACTTCACTCGGACATGGAACATAAGGCTTGCATTTTCTAAGGCCTTAAAGTTGTTTAGTTCACTAGAATTGAAGTGAACTAAATAAAAATAATAAGAAATCCCGTTGCGCAACTCACCAGGACGGGATTTCATTTTCATTAAGATTACTTGGAATGGCTCAAATCCAAGTAATTTAGTCAATGCATCTTTGATCAGGCCTAGGGGTTCAACACTAGGCAGACCTTTCATGACAACCTTGAACAGACGTTCAGTGTTGGTGTCGTAAGAGAAACTGTTGTGTTGCTTTACAGTAAGATACTGGAGAAGACGTTTGAATCCGTCCAAGGTTTCAGTCAATACACGAAGTTCAAAAGTACGGTTACGGTTTTATAAGACGAAAGCTGGTGAGGCAATTTTTGATTTATTATTTATTATTGCTCAAATATTTTAAACAATACTGGGATTGAGAGGGACCATCAGGGTTCCCTATTGAAGTGATTTGGACGGGGAGAATGGGAATGCAAACTCCCTGCTGATAATATTTCGTGGATAAAGGGCGGGCTCTTCTCCCCACTAATTGGGGCATCTTCAAGTTTGGGTGCTCGTCATTTTGGCCAATTGTGCGATCATGAGGCTGGAAGAAGATTCTTAAACGTTCCGTAAATGCGTATAGGCGATATTTTAACCGGCTGTAACAGTGTACCTTTATCGGCTCCGTAAAGCTAACGCGATTGAACCTTCCAACTAAACGAACTAGATAAAACAATGTACTTCAAAATGAATGCTTACATGCACCAGCCCTCCCGCTACGATATCAACAAATCCTGTTGACTCGTTTAGCAGACTGTACGACCATGTGGTCGAAGGCGATGATGTAAATAAATAAACAAGCCTGCTCTCGACTATTTATGTAGCCTTAGATAGCATCCGTCGAAAATCTTCAATTTCCAACCCAACCTCTTCTGCATTTTATTTTACAACGAGAAAAAGTCACCCCGAACTAAGCCAGTTAAGGGGGAATTCAAGTTTTGGTTGGCAGGTTCGATAGCACCACGAATTCAGAACACATTTGAATCCATTACTGGTTGGAAAAAAGAAGCTGCCATTCAACGTTCCCATCGAGAAAAAATAACTTCAGTTTGTGGTCGCTGTCATCTGCACTGCAGACATGACCATTCTGGGGAAAAAACATTGACTGGGAGGACTTTATGTCCTGCTGGAAATATAGAAAAATAGTAGAAAATATAATGCCGGTACATGCACTCGAATTTCAAAAGGGAAAATAGCAAGGTCAAGTAACGGTCGCCATGTCATACGTATGCATTTTGGAAGCACATTCACAGAGCGAACCCCCCAAACCGAAACAAAGAAAACCTTTGAGCAGTTCCAGGCCAAATAATAAAAAAACAATGGATGTACGGCCTTCTCCGATTTGTATGAAACTTTGAAAAATTGTTTTTTTATGGGAAATCGTTCACATTTTTGCTGAACTTCGGCCATTTTGGAACATGTATGTTTTTTAAAATGGCCGCTTGTACATTTTTCAATATAGTGTGGCACGCAAACGTCACTTCTGATCGAAATGACGTCTGAGACAAAAGTTGTAGAGAAAATTAAAATCTTTCTGTGAAAAATTATGAATGGTAATTTTTTCACTTAATTTTAAGAAAAAATTCTAAAAAGTGTTACAAACATAAATATGTTTAAATGAATTTAAATTTTTATTTTTTTTTTAAGAATGTCTTAATATAAAATAATACTTTTGAAATGTTGAAAACCTTGGACACTTTAAAATTGACAAAAATCGTCAAACAACAACTTTAAGAGTTGGTTGGAAATGCTATCTAACATGAAGCTTTATTGTGATAATTTATTAGCTAGAGAATGATCTTAGAAGAGGGTAGGTAGATAGTTCCGTTGGAGTACGGCAGTACAAAAATTGAATAGAAGTTGAAAATGAGCGAAGGGCCATTAATGCGACAGGGCAATTCAAACGCACACTCTTTACCTTACCCTCCGACGTACGCGGAGATTTGAAGCACGTCTTCAAATCTACAGGCAAATGCTCAAATATTGCCTGCGGCTGTGGAATAGTCCTAGTGACGTTTGATCACTTCCTAAAGCCCCACGTTGCCGAAAGCATTTCCAGTCGATGGTGTGTTATAATGCAATTCTTCTTTACCCAACTACAGTCAGGAATCCTTATTGCCGGGGTAACGGGGGCGTTAATAAGGAACCGCGAATAAGGATACCCAGAGCTTATGGGATTTTCACTAATGGGGGCTGAGGTGGATTATCTCATTTGTTACGATATATAGAGCTATACTGTCTTCGACAAAAATATGTTGTACTGGGATAGACCAACAAGCCTGTGTCATTGGATTCAATTGGGAACCACGCCGCTAGAGCCGCTTCACTTTTATGTGTGGCCATAATAGAAAGTTTCTGTTTTCAGAAAAGTTGATCAAGTGACCAAGTCCTTTCGGATGGTAGCCATATTAGTTCAGAACTCTCTCACTACACAGCGCTAGTGTGCACATGAGCTTCCTATATAAGCTGTATCTCAAAATCCTGGCCATATAGAAGGTTACTGTCTTGCGCAAAGTTGTTCAGGCGACCAAGTCCTTTCGGATGGTGGGCATATTAGTTCATAACTCTCACTACACAGCGCTAGTGTGCACATGAGCT